GTGTGGATTTCCTGATATGCATTGATTTATTGATTACTGATTGATTTATTGATTACCCTACGCATGATTGATATTGACGGATTTTATCGACGGATTTATTGTTAGCAAATGGATTTATTGATATTGACGGGTTTATTGTATTGAATTGATTTATTACTGAATGGATTTACTGATGAATGGATTTACTAACGGATTTACGGGTTTACTGTTACTGTACGATTTCATTGATATTGCATGTTATTCATGTCACTGGATACTGGCACCGATATGGATATGGATATTGTATTGATTCATGGATACAGATACCGATATTATTGATTCATATATTATGGATTCATTGATTCATGGATACAATTGATACTACAGATACTACTGATCCACTGATACATTGTATTGATTCTTATAGCACGTGATTATTGATGTATTGATTTGATTGATTTATATGATTTTATTGATTTGATTTCTACTGTTCACTGATTCTATCATTGATGATTTTGGGATTCTATTGTTTATGCATTGATTTCTGTTTTTGTACTGATTTTCGTATATGCTGCATAGATTCACTGATCATGTGTAAGTGACTGTTATTGATTTGATTGGTTGTCATGCATATTATTTTCGTCGTGCTTTGATTTCAGTTGTAGGCTTTGGTGACCTGCTGGATTTTTTGAAGCTCATTATATGTGGTTAACAATTTCAGGTCAGGGCAAGGGAGCAAGAAGTGATGATTGATCAAGACTGTCGACGAATCCTTTCACTATGGATGCCTGGGGCGTCACACTCTATTTTCTAGCTATGTATATTTTTATCTTTTAATCTCATTGAGAGAACAAATTTTACTTTTAAGGTTAATATAATTCCATTTCTATGAATCACTTCAAATCAAACATAAACATGACTCAACCACCTTCCATTGACTCTAACACAAGGGGAAAAGGTCTATGCTCTATTCTATCCTTTGATATGTTATAATCAAACACCTTCTCTCCAATACAAACATAACGATCTATCAAAGCCAAAAATTTATTGAATAAATTTGCTTTTATACATTTCGCTATGATGTATATTATATCTTTGTTTAGGACAACTTTCTAAAACAACTTTCTAGTACATAAATATCTTGAACTAGAAATTTTGTATTAAAAAGATGCTTTAGAAAACATTAAAAAAGTTATCCCAAACAAAACCTATTTCTCATGACAAGTGTAATAATTTATCAGGTTAATGATTAACCATTGTTTTTAGTAAGAAAAAAATTGTTGTGCAATCAATGGGTTTGCTTTTGTTAGGAAAGTTGCTATTTGCATGTTTTACATTCTTGCAACTTGTATTATTTTGATGATTCCAAATATTATTGTTTTATGTGTAGTTATCTCCTAACACTTTTTAGAAGATTTGTTTTTGCTCTTGTGTGTACTAATATTTCAGGAAAATCAAACTCCAGACTACGAAGACTTCAAATCAAATTCAGCATGAGATACTTTGTGAAATTGAAGCTTGTACTTTTTATTTGAATTAAATTTGAGAGGGAGTGATTGTAATTGAGTGAATAAATTTACAAAAACTTAAAGGAGATCTTTATAATATATTATAAATAAAATTATAATTTCATATAAATAATAGTAGGGAAATTTGACTTTAAATGATTCATAATGCACTTAATTGTATAAAAATCCAAGATATGCATTAATTTTGACAAGAAGTTTATTTTGAACAAAATTGCCCTAAACGACTATAAACATTGTATTTACAAATTACTTTTTAAAGTTGAAGTCCCTCAAAACTAATTTTAATTTTGAACTACTTTGAACCAAGTTTTGCAAGATGAGAGTTTGACATTCTTCTTTCACTACAAGAAGGCATTGATATGAACGACGATGTGTGATGAATAATGGAATTCGTGAGGGTATTTCACATAAGGCAGGCACTGATGAGATCATTGGTGTGCGAAAGAGAAGAGGTGTTTTCAAGGGATTCATTGGGAGAAGGCATCACTGAGACCATTTGCTTGCAAAAGTGAAGAGGAATTCACAATGGAGCAAGTTTAGTGTCATAATTGATGAGTTTGGCAAATGCGTGAAAGAGAAGAAGAGTTCATAATAGAGCTGGTTGGGTTGAGGTATCAACGAGATCAATTATGTGTAAAGGAGAAGAGAAGTTTTCGGAGGACATTGTTGGAGAAAGGCATTGATGGGATTGACAACAATTGGAGGACATGAGTTTTGCTATGGGTAGGTTGGGTGTAGGCGATGTGTGGGGTAGGCATTGACCAGATTATCCTCTGGCAAGAACGACAAGGTAAAAATCTTCATTTGGAGTAAGTTTATTCTAATCTTAATTTGAACAAGATGCAAACTAGTTTGAATCAAATTGAATTCAAGCTAGTTTGAAGTTTGAACAACTTTTGAAGCTTATTCTAATCTTCATTTCAGATTAATTTCTTTATAATTTTAACTCTTAGAAGCTCTCCTAGATGGTTCTCTCTCGCTCCCTGGGTGTGCTAGGGCTTCGCCCTAGCCGCCCCTTGCGGCCTCTTCTCCGCTTCTCGCGCTGGGCGCTACTCCTCGTGTGCCTCAGGGAAGTTCTTTCTTCTCGTTTTATTGTCGTTTTCATTGTCGTTTGCATTCTTTTGGTTTTATGGCGCTTCCCCGTCTTAGGGATCCTAGTTTTTTGAATGGATTCTCATCTCTTTTGTTTAAAAATGCTCTTTCTAGTGTGTCGCATTCTTCCGTTGCCTTTCCTGAACTTAAGGTGTCTTCGCATAGGGGTATGCCTGCTCTATGGATTTTGGAGGCCAAAATCCAGTCTCTTACCGCTCCTTTTGAATTTGCTCTGGTTGGAAAATTTTATGGCCAAAGGCCATCTCTTGATGGCATTAGAAATTTCTTTTTCAATCTCAAGCTAAATGGCAATGTTTTTGTCACTGTTCTCAACCAACATAATGTGTTGATTAAACTCTTTAACAATTTGGATTACTGTAGGATTTTTGCTCATAGGTCTTATTTTGTGAGTAATTGCTATATGAAATTGATAAAGTGGACTCCTACTTTTGATATTGAGGTTGAATCGCCTGTTATCTGAATCTGGATTTCCTTCCCTAATCTTCGGCCTCATTTGTTCGCCCAACGTATTCTTCATGGATTAAGTTTTATTTTTGGTAAACTCTTAAAATTTGATAATCTGACCTCCTCTTATTCACTTCCGTCTTTTGCTTGCATTTTGGTTGAACAGGATGTGACCAAACATTACCCTGATAAAATTTGGATTGGCCCGGATAACATTGGTTATGTTTAATCTGTGGTTCTGGAAGATTTCCCTGAGTATTGTGCACACTGTTTCTCTTTGGGGCATTCGAAGGTTGGTTGTAGGACTCTACGCCCTTACCTTGACTCCTCTGCCTTGCCTACGTCTACTCTTATTGTTAATAATTTGATGGGGGAGGGTGGGGATGTTGCTCCTATGCTCCTTGGCCCTGTGGTGGTTCCGTCTGTGTCCTGTGGTTGTGGCACCTGATGGCATTGTTGGTGTTGATTCTGTTATGCACGGTTTACCTGCGCCTTCTAATTATCATGTTTCTCCTGTTGTTTTTTCTCCTATTTTGCCTTCCTTGGGAGGGTCTCCCGTGGTTCTGGTTGAATCGGTTGTTGTGCTGGATTCCCCTATTAATGTTGGGTTGGTTCGATCTTCTCCTGTTCTCTCCCCTGTTGCCAATGCCCCTGCTGATGCTTTTTGTTCTTCTATTTCTTCTGATGTTGATGGTGAATTGGTGGTGTATGGTGGAGTGGATGGGGTTGTTTCCCCTAATTTGGCTCCTGCCAATGTAGATGTGTCTGATATTAATTGTTGTGTGAATTTTAATGATAGTCCTAGTTATGTGGATGGTGAGGATTTGGTTGTTGGCAAGTCTACCTATTCAGTTGATAGTGGTGAAGAAGCTTTGGCTATTGTTGGGGAGGCAGGTGTTGAGGTGCCTCTAGTGGATGTGCCTATTTCTATCATTTCAAATGCTAATTTGTTTGCCCATCTTGGTAGAGATTCTGTTAGGTGCCAATGTGACTGGTTGCATGATAACATGTCGGTTGCTAGTGGGGAGGATTTTATTGATATCAACCTTGAAACATGCTCGCTCGATAAGTTGGTTTCGCAATGTAAACGGAAATCCATGAAGAAATGATTTTCTTCTTTTGGACTATTTGAGTTTGTTCCATTCTTCGTTGCTTTGGTTGCTTTGTTGGGTTTGATTAAGAAAGGACGATAAGGAAGCAGTTCTGCTGCATGCGCCGTGGATGGCCAGGGTTGATTGGCAACCTGGGTGGCTCGTTTTGGTGTTTTTGGATGCTTCTCGTTTTGAATTTTATTGTCCTCAATGGATGGCCCCGCCCTGATAACTCGGTGTCGGTCTGAGTCCAATATTCTCCGAATTTCCCCATCCGATTATTAGTTTGTTTTGTTTCTGCTTCTCTTTGATTGTAATTTTATAGATGTGGCCCAGTGATGGTCTTTTACTATATCTTTTTCGTTTAATGGAAATTTTTAGTTATATATATATATATATATATATATATATATCTTATGAGACATGAAGTCAATTTATCCTGATACTATAATATTATGATTTTATACAAATATCATATAAATAATTTTGTAGTATTTATTTAATATAATTCTATTTTAATCAAGATAAAAAAATATTCTCCATTCATTTCTGATTAAATGTTAATAAAAGGCATACCCAAAAAATATTCTCCATTAATATAATATTTTTTAAGTTAGGTGGGAATAATAATTATTATTTTTGAAGATTTAGATGAATTAAATCAAATTCTTACCCACATCATATGTCAAAAATTTAAACTCAAAATCTCTTAGTTAATATTTGAAGCAGTTAGCACATCAGACTGAGCCACTGGAAGCTATGATTTCAGTTCAACTAATGAGTAATTATTTTAATAATAAAATATTTTGGCCTAGACATTATGAAATGAACCGGAATACCGGATTTAGGGGCAAATCTAAAATAAGCAGAACAGGTAATCGTGGGTCAAGCACCTGCTTCGATTTTGCAGATCTTTCTCTCACATCGAGGTCGCATCAAGCGCGCTGCTCGTGTCTCTGCGGTTCTTCCGCTTCCCACAACAGCGACCCCTTCGTCTAATCCTTGGAGGGAAATCGAATTAACAAAATCGAACTACGGTGGAGAGGAGACCAAAGGAAAAGCGCTTACTTTGTCGATTGGTTTGCGTCTTCTCTTCTTCTAATTTTGCTCATCTTTCCTGATCGCCTTCTTGCTTAGCTGATATCGGCGAAGGTAGTTCCTCTGTTCCTTTTGATTTAGATGAGTTCATTTTTTTTTTTTCACTTGGAAGATTAGCTCTGTGAATATGAATCTGATTTCTTTTTAGAATGTGGTTCTGGAATGTTTATAGGGTGATTGAATTGGTTTTTTTTAAAAACTTCTTAGGGTTTCCGTGAGTCTTTTCAATGTCAACAATTCAACTTGTTCAGGATGGCTAGTATGGATTGCACGTCCTTAAGGCTCCCGTTTTGCAACTATGGAGTTAAATGGAAGATAAGAATATAAAATTGAGTTTGAAGCTTGGTTCTTTGGTTTTGGGCTAACAAGTAAAAATTTATGCTCCAATGGAACTGTTAATTTAATGAATATATATAAACAACCCTAGAAAGTTTGCCTTGAGAGTACATATATGTATGATGAGTTTATCCTATACAAATGTTTGAAAAAGATGCAAAACTTGGGTCGATTAAGAACTTAGATAAAATTGTACCATCTTATTATTAAACTACTACAACAAGAACCAAATAGAACCGGGGAAGAGAACCAAACAGCACTTTGGTTTTGTATTCATCATCATAAACCTTCCTTACACTCACCTTTTCTTTTAAATGCTACTAATTTAACTACCCAATATTACATTAGACAATTCAACAACTAATGTTACTACCCATTGCACATTTTAAATCCTGCTATCCCATTACAAACACTTGGGTGTGTAACCTCCTTTGGTCCCTAGTCTATCTTGTGTGCTATTGCTTGCTCCTGTAGGTTTGTAGAAATGTCTGGAATATGCCTCCCCTCCCAGAGATCTTTCACTAATTGATAAATTTGGGATAAAAAACAATGAATCACCACTCACCTTCTTGTGTGGCCTCTTCCATTGGTGCTCCCTTCCATGTGATTAGGATTTTTAATTTGGGCCGGTATTTCCTCTTGCGGATGATTTGATGATTTAATAGTAATTCTAGTTGAGGCATAATGCAAAATTTGCTCGCCATGGGGGTAAATTAGCTAACTATGGAACTACTGTGTCCAAGTGTTTTTGTAATAAGCTTACATGAAAAGCATTGTGAATCTAGGAGTCAGGGTGAAGGTGAAGTTTGTAGGTTACTTGTCCAACCTTCTTGATTACTTGGCAGGGTCCAAAAAATAGGGGGTTAGCTTGAGTTTGCTTTAAAAGGAGACCGACGTTTGTCTCAATGGTTTTGGTTTCAAGTAGACAATGTTCACTTTAATGAAGGAGACTTTTAAATGGTGGTAGTCCAATTTAACTTTCATTCTATTTTCTGTACGTGACAAGTTGCATCGGAATTCATAGCATATTCTTATCGCAATATTTTAAATATTATGATAGGAAATACTTGAGTTCACAAGCAAACCTATCACTAATTGGATGAAAACAGCGAGAAAATAATCAAAGCATGGGCGAAAACAACCCTAAAATAGTAGATTGCACTAAGGAAGCAAAGCAAAACACACAGAAAGAAAGATACAAGTAATCCTCTATTCGAGAGGAGGATCGGTCTCTCCCAATCTCTAGACGCAAGGTCTAGAGCCCTCAAACCGCACAAGACTCCAAGAGAAACTCCAATCTAAGCATGCCTAGCCCTAACCCCTTCATGCCCTTTAAATAGCCCTCTCCAACTCCTTAAAGACTTCCTAATATAAGATAGTATTTAATTAATTCAAAAGATATCAAATCTTTTTAATTAATTAAATTCTCTTTCCAAATAGAAGATAGTATTTAATTAATTCAAAAGATATCAAATCTTTTTAATTAATTTAATCCAAACAAATTGGGCGTGGGCCTCTCCCTTAGGCGGTGTAGGAAGGAGGCGGTTTGATCCGCCTCCTGTATACAAGTGCCGGCCCCACCTGGGCCGATTGAGATTGAACCGACATATCAATACCGCCCTCCCAAAGAATCACCTTGTCCTCAAGGTGAAAACTAGGAAACTGATGTTTCGCCCTCTCGTATGGCTCCCACGTGGTGTCGTAGTCCGACAGATTCTTCCACTTGATTAACAGTTCTTTCGCTCCTTTCTGACGAACCCCCATCAACTCTAAGGGTTCCATAATCACCTTTAAATCCTCCGTAAGTGTGGCCGATAATTCCGAGCTGACTGTATAATCCCCAATGGCTCTTCTCAGTTGTGATACATGAAAACCAGATGAATAGTCATCGTGGGTGGTAGTCTTAGCCGATATGCCACTGCTCTGATTTTTTCCAATATTTCGTAAGGTCCAAAGTATCTTGGAGCGAGCTTTTCATTTATTCTGTGGCCACTGTCTTTTGCCGGTATGATCGGAGCTTTAAGAACACTTTCTCTCCTGCTTTAAACTGGATGTTCTTCCTATGCCCATCAGCCTGTTTCTTCATAATCTGTTGAGCTCTCAGTAGATGTCTCTTTAATTCTTCTAATACTCGATCCCTTTCCGCCAAGTACTCCTCTACTGAAGAAACTAGAGTACTGCTACTCCCGAAGTGCACCAAGTGAGGGGGGTCCCTTCTGTACAAAAGTGTACCAAGTGAGGGGGGTCCCTTCTGTACAGCACCTTGAATTGTGTTATTTGTGAAGCCGAGTGAAAAGAGGTGTTGTACAGTACTTTGCCTAAGACAATCACTTGGCCCAAAGTTTGGGTGTCTCTGACACAAAATATCTCAAATAGGTCTCCAAGCTCCTATTGACCACCTCCGTTTGACCATCTGTCTATGGGTGGTAAGCGATGTTCCTATTTAGAACTGTCCCTTGTAACTTGAACAATTCCCTCCAAAAATGATTGAGGAACACCTTATCACTGTCTGACACGATCTCCTCTGGTTTTCCATGCAATCTGACCACGTCTCTAATGAATACTGAAGCCACTGTTACCGTGGTGTAAGGATGTTGGAGGGGGATGGAATGAGCATACTTCCTCAATCTATCCACCACCACCAAGATCACTGTGAAGCCTTATAAACGGGGCTGCCCATCTATGAAATCCATGGATATCTTCTCCTAGACTCGTCCCGATAGTGCCAACGGCTGTAGTAGTCCCCCTGGTGATATAGCCAAACGCTTGTTCCTCTGACAGATTTCACACATTGCCACCATCTCCTCTACATCTCTATGCATTCCCTTCCAGTAAAGCTCGGCCGCTAGTCTCTTGTAGGTTCTCTGCACCCCTGAATGACCCCCAACTGTGCTTCCATGAAATTCATGTAGCAAATTTGGGATGTGGATCGAGGTACGGGGCATCACAAATCTTCCTTGGTACAGTAGTCTGTCTCCCTCTAATGAGTACCATGGATGGCTACCACCCTCTTTCAGCAAATCTAACCTGATTCTTTCTAGTTCTTCGTTTCTAGCACTTTGTTCCCTGATAGTCTCCCAGTCAAGTATCAAAGGAATGGATAATGCCATCATCTGCAGCTCCCCCATACATCTGGAAACACGTCCGCCGCCTTGTTCTCCACCCCTGGTCTATACTGAATCTTAAAATCGTATCCTAGCAACTTGGACAACCACCTTTGATGCTCTTCCGTCACCATCCGCTGTTCCAGTAGGTATTTCAGGCTTCGCTGATCTGTCTTAACAATGAAATGTCTCCCAAGCAGATAGGGTTGGATGGCCAAGATGATGGCCATTAATTCCCTCTCGTAAATTGATTTCAGTCGGGCTCTAGCCCTTAATACCTGGCTGAAATAGGCAATGGGTCCACGATTCTGCATTAGTACTGCACCTAGTCCGTATCCTGAAACATCTGTCTCCACAATGAAGGTTTGAGTAAAATCTGGTAAGGCTAGGAACGGTACCATAGTCATCGTCTTCTTCACGCTCTCAAAAGCTGATGTTGCCGCCTCCCCCCATAGGAATACGTCCTTCTTCAACTGTTCAGTGAGTGGCCATGCGATGGAGCTATACCCCTTCACGAACCTCCTGTAGTAACCCGTCAGTTCTAGGAATCCCCTTAATTCCTTCAGATTTTTCGGCACGGGCCACCTTATCATTGCTTCAATTTTGGGCTGATCTGCTGTCACTACCTCTTTTGACACCACATGACCCAAGTACTCTACACTGGCTTGTGCAAAGTAGCATTTCTTCAAATTAGCCCTCAGCTGGTGCTCCTACAATACTTCTAACACCTTCTTTAAATGCTCCCAATGCTCCACTTCTGTCCTGCTGTAGACCAGGATGTCGTCAAAGAATACCAGTACAAATCGTCTGAGATAAAGTTTGAAAACATTATTCATGAGGGCTTGGAAAGTAGCTGGAGCATTGGTAAGGCCAAACGGCATCACCAAGAACTCATAATGTCCTTCATGAGTTCTAAAGGCCATTTTGGGTACATCCTCCTTCCTCATTCGGATCTGATGGTAACCTGATTTCAAGTCTATCTTACTGAAGATCACGGTTCCACTTAATTCATCTAGCAGCTCGTCATTGACTGGTATAGTAAACTTGTCTGGTATAGTTTTCTTGTTGAGTGCTCTGTAGTCCACATAAAAACGCCAGCTGCCATCCTTCTTTTTCACCAACAGAACAGGGCTGGAAAAAGGGTTGATGCTGGGTCTGATGATCTCTGCCTCCAACATTTCTCTAATCAACCTTTCTATCTCATCCTTATGGAACTGAGGGTAGTGATAAGACCGGACACTGATGGGCAACACTCCCTCCTTCAATACGATGGCATGCTCCTACTCCCTCTGCGGTGGCAATCCCTGAGGTGGCTGAAATACCTCTTCGAATTGCTGAATCAATGGCTGAACGGAGAGGGTTTAGTCTCCTCCCTCTTTCAATCTTGCTTCCTCCAAACTGTGCAACTCCACTAAATACCCTCCTCCCGCCAACTGGATATCTTTTACCATTGTTTTAAGAGAAACTAGGAATTTTGAAAGCCCCGCGTCTCCCTTAATCATTACCTTCTTTCCGTCCACCATCAACTCCATCGTAAGTGCTCCGTAATTCACCTTGGTGCCACCCAAAGTTTGCAGCCATTTCTTCCCTAGTATGACGTCTGTGCTTCCCAGCTCTAGTGGAAGGAAGTCCTCCCTCACCTGTATCCCCTAGGTCGTCAGTCGTACTTCCCTGCAAATCCCCTGACTTTTCTCTGTCTTCCTTGTACCCATCATCACTCCGTAGCACCCTGTGTCCACCAATCTTATTCCTAGTTGGTCTACGACCTGGGTGGAAATGAAATTGTGGGTAGCCCCATTATCAATTAGCACCACAACCTCCCGATCCCCTATCTCTCCCTTCACTTTCATGGTGTGATTCGTAGTGAACCCCACCACTGAGTTTAGGGAAACCTCAGCTAGATCCAAGTGTAGCTCCTCTTCTTCTTCTGTCACCTCCTCACCTCCCTCCTCAGTTTCCTCATCATCGCAGACGGTGAGAACCTGAAGAGTTCGGTCCTTGCACCGATGTCCTGGCATGTACTTTTCATCGCATCGGAAACACAACTCCTTAGCCCTCTTCTCCTGCATTTCTTTCTCTGTTCCTCCCTCTGTTTTCTCCTTGGCAGCTTCTTTACTACCTCCTGTTGCAGGACCTCTAGGTGTGAAATCAGTGGTCGTCATTTGGTATGTGCCCCCGGTGCTGCTACTCATGGCTCCCTTTTCCAAATTTTTCTGATTTTCCACCAGTTGGGCTAACCTCATGGCTTCTCTTAAGTCATGGGGCATCGAGACCTTTACTGCTACTCGGATCTCCGCATTCAGCACTTTCATGAAATTTTCCTCTAATATTGTCTCTGAGAGTCGCTCCACCCTGCTAGCCAGGTGCTCAAACTGCTCCCGCTAATCTGCAACTGATCCCTCTTGTGTCAGAGCAAAGAACTGCTCATAGAAGTCTCCTTCCCGTTTGGTTTGGAAATGTTCTATTATGCAGTCTTTAAATTCTTTCCAGTTCCTGATCGGCCTCCTCTGGTCTCTCCACTGAAACCACGACAGGGCTTTTCCTTTCAAACACAATCCGGTTGCAGTTAGCTTCTCCTCTTCCGTCAGCCCATTGACGGTGAAGTATCGCTCCACCTTATAAATCCACCCATACGCATCTTCTCCATCGAATATGGGCATCTTCAACTTCCTCACCTTTTGATCCCTCATTGCCTCGGATTCGTCCATAGTTTCCCCTTTTCCAAGTGTTAGGTGCACCCCAAGTTTTCTGATCTTCTCTTGCCCTGCCATAGCCCAAACCCCCTTCAAAATCCCCTCTTCTCCCTTCAAAATCAGCACCCCGATGACCGTAAAACTTCTCATGGCGTTCCCAATCAGCCCTTCTTTGCTCTGCTCCCCCATATCCATACCTTTCCCCATGTCGATCTCCTCTTTCCTCCCTATGGAAAGGCTCCACATAGGGTTTTCTTCTTCCCCCTTCCACGATTTCCACCTCTTCTTCCTCCTTTCGGATTTCAGAATTGGTGTTCTTCGCTTCAGGGCCCTTCGCTTCGGATGTCGCCGTTTGTGCTTGAAGTTCCAATATTCTTTTCATCATATCCCTGAGATCGCCCACTTGCCCTTCCATGGAAGAAATTCTTTACTCTACGGTTTCTTTGATGCGATTTATATCTCCTTCGAGTCTCTCCTCCAAAGCATCAACTTTCTTGGCCGCCATTACGATCCAAAGTTTGTAGATTCACAAAATATGGTTCTTGAAGTCAAAAAACAACAACTTCATCCTTTTCCGAGCAAAAAACTGCTGCTGGAATTTGCCGAAAACAGCCCTCCACTGGCCCCAAGACTCGCTCTGATACCAATTTGATAGGAAATACTTGAGTTCGCAAGTAACCCTAAGGGAATACTTGAGTTCACAAGCAAACCTAGCACTAATTGGATGAAAACAGCGAGAAAATAATCAAAATCTGGGCGAAAATAGCCCCAAAACAGTAGATTGCACTAAAGAAGCAAAGCAAAACACACAGAAAGATACAAGTAATCCTCTATTCGAGAGGATCGTTCTCTCCCAATCTCTAGGCGCAAGGTCTAGAGCCCTCAAACCTCACAAGACTCCAAGAGAAACTCCAATCTAAGCATACCTAACCCTAACCCATTCATGACCTTTAAATAACCCTCACCACCTCCTTAAAAATTTCCTAATATAAGATAGTATTTAATTAATTTAAAAGGTATCAAATCTTTTCAAATTAATTAAATCCACTTTACTAATATAAGATAGTATTTAATTAATTCAAAAGATATCAAATCTTTTTAATTAATTAAATTCAAACAAATTGGGCGTGGGCCCCTCCCTTAGGCGGTGTAGGAAGGAGACTGTTTGACCCGCCTCTTGTATACAAGTGTTGGCTCCACTTGGGCCAGCTGAGATTGAACCGACATATGATATTCATTAATTGTTGAGACATGAGTTGTTTTAGGAACATAGGCTGATGTTTTGGGAGGTGGAATGCCATATACAGTCTCGAATTGGGTGATTTGGTGGTCGAGTGGTTTGATGTGTTGCAATTAAATTTATCCCATAGAATGCAATCATTATATTTTTAGGGCTATTGCCTAACGAAACATCTTAGGTGTTGCTTTAGGACCCAATTTATGTCTCAAACAAGCTGTTAGACTAGGGTTGGTAGCTGGAGCTCATGCAAAGTTTGGTTCCTTGCAATTGAAAGAGCACTTGCCAAAAGGTATTGATGAACGCCTTGCCACGGTCGTTGATGTTGGACTTGGAAACCCCATGGAGTGGAATGATGTTAGCAATAACAGTTTTGCAACTTGGGCTGTGGAGAAGATATGTTTTAAGGCGATGAAGTGGCTATACTTCATTACTTTGTCAGTCAATCAATGACAAACATGACTACAATGTATCCATTTGAGGATGGAAGCCCTTCCCTGAAATTTGTTGAGATGTCTGTCCATATCTATGTGGGGATTTGGAGTGGTTGAAGTAATCCATCAAGTTACATACAATTGGATTTGTATCTTTGGCTGGTACACATTGTTTCGAGAATTCTCTAACTGATCGATACATATTTGCTTGTAAAAAACTTTGTTTGATTTGTGAGATGGTTTTGTGGAAACCAAAATGTCCTCCCATTGATTATGAGTGGTTGTCTTCGTGTATTTTTGTGTTAAGATTGGGTATGCCACTCGTGGGGTTGGAAATGATTTTGGCTAGGGCATTCTTTTGATGGTATTGCTTTCATTTTTCAATTAGCCGAGCAATCTTTATGGCATCGATCAATATGCTTGGGTTTTTTTATTATAACATCTAGAGTCGAAACGTTGGTCAGAAATGGAGTGCAATGACTCCATGAGGCCAAATAAGTTAATGTTGGGGTATTCTTGATGTGGACTCCGAAATGCTCACTGTGCTTGTAGCTTGGTGGAAATTGTTTATAGGGCCTCATTTTATTGATCAAAGTTGACTTTGTGCCGTGTGAGGATTTCATGGATCTCTCTTTCACAAGTTGGTTTTCCTGTCGGCATCCATGGAACCATCTCTAACATCACTGTGACCAAATTACAACTGCAAGAGGCAAGCATAACAGGGGATTTCTATTCACATCAGAACTCTTCCTTACATTCTCCTTTTCTTTTAAAGACTACTTATGTAACTACCCAATGCCCCATTACATAATTCAACTACTAATGTAACCACCACTCATCACATATTCAACAACCCTGCTATCCCATTTCAACACTTGGGTGCAGAACTTCCTTGGGTATCTACTGCCTAGTCCATTTTGTGTGGAGCCGCCAGCTCCTGTGGGTTGTGAAAATGTCTGTAAAACATCTATATTTGTATTGCAACTATTGTTAAAAGACCTCCAATATGATTGCACCGGAATTTGTGCTTCTCACGGTTAAGATGAATCATAGAAGCTGATCTTCATTCCATTCTTTGCCCATTGAGTATGAAAGTACTGAAATAACATAGCCTTATCTTGATTCCTTGTGCCAATGCAGTAATATTGAGAGTTTGTTACATGTATACTACCTAAATCTTACTGTATTACATGCTTCACTGCGATATCTTGACCAAATATTGAGCAGTCTACCTGAAACTGTCCGTAATCAGAAAATATGAAGAGTTTGTTATCATTTATGAACTTTTAGGTGTTATTAACCTAAAATTATTGGTGTAATTTGTTTATAAATGTGATGATTTACTTACCATATTTTAGATCTTAAGAGCAGAATGAATCGTCATTTACATTATGCTCTATAAATCAAACTTATTAGATTGTTTCAAATAAAGTTATTTGGTTTTGATTCCTAGCAACACTGCTGTATGCTTGTATGCATCTTTTTAATCCAATTTGAGAAGAAAATGAGAATCTAAAAAAATTTTAGTTGATTGATATAAAAGTACTACAAATAAGAGCTGTCAGTTTTGTTGTCGCAGGAGCCGCGCATCTTTTCATCATGTCCAACTCTTTTTTCATGAAAATATTGTTTGCTATTGCTGTCTGGTGCATAGCATATGTTGCTGCTGCCTTTGTGGTCTTATTTAGATTCTTCGCTGGCCATGGTTCTACCATCATGAACTAGTCGAGCAATCTGAGCGAGAACCGCAGTACTTTGGTGACTTGCAAATTGCAATGGCAAGGTGATACTTTTTTTTCTTCATGTTGGTATCACTCAAGTGGATATTAGTGCTTGATCCTCGGTTCTTTTCCTTCTTACTAGGCGTTATAAATAGTCTTAATTTGTATCTCCCAATAGTAATAATAATAACGATAATGTATCACTAATGGTTCACCCCCTTCCCTGATTCAGGGTTTATACTGTTTTCTTTTCTTGGAATTTATACTAGAATATATTCATGTTTACTTTGGGTTAGAGTCGTTAGACCTCTACCTCTTTTCTATTTCATTATAAGAATTAACAAAGCATTCTTTCAGGGAGGGTTGGATCAGAGGAGGGGTTAATGTTGGGCTTAATATACAATTGATTAAAGCATTTTTAGCCAAAAGACTAAGCTTGTAGGTGATGGTCAAGCACTTACTGTTTCATTGCTAACATTTATTTCAACACTTATTGATCTATCCTTTATAGGAGTTTTCCATGTTAGCCTCCACTCTCCCTCAAATAAAAGTTTTTCTGCATCATCAATTATCTTGCATCAAGGTCCAAGTCACTTGCTTTTAAATTTTGCTCAACTATGGATGAGGGCTGCCAAAAACTATTGTAAGCTGTAAACTACATGAACTACTTATCTTAATTGAACCATCGCCTTTTATACTACTACTTGGTAGTTAGTATAAACCAATAGGGAGACTAAATTTTAGGTTGATACATCAGTGATTAAGTTTTTTTTTTTTTCAACCCAAAGATTAAGCTTATAGGCTAATTATATGGTATTCTAATATAAAAATATTTTTCGATTATTCGATTTAGGACTAATTCCAATGCTATCATATTCTTCGACATATCGAGCATTGAAATCTAATTGAAATGTGATAAGTAATTGCAATTGGGACTTTCAGGTGGAGATGCCACCAGTCAACCCAAAAGAGTTTTGAGTTGATCGAGCATTAGTTAGGCATAAAAAGTTAACAAAGTCCATCCTAAAACCCTAGGTTAAGTTGATCAAGCATTAGTCAGACTGGAAAGGGTTTTTGTCAAATAAGAAGAGTTGAGCCAATTGAGTTTGAAGGAAAAATTGGATGACTGAGGAAGTTGTAAGGGGAGCTGATGGGTTGGGACCTCTTAGCCCTTGAAGAGAGCTAGATCCACCTATTAAGTTGAGGTGATAAGGTAGTCCTTTAAAAATATTAATGTCCTAACTAGGTTTATCTTGTGGCTAGGACTATTGGGCCGAGTCAAGGCTTTATAGTCTTGGTGACTAAATATAAGATTTTAATAACTACATTCCTGATCGCTTACTGTCCTCACCTTTCAGGAGCATGCCCATTGTCCACTCTAATCATCCTCAATTACTCAATATACGGTTTACCCAAAGCTTGACCATTGCATGACATTCATAGTCATATGACATTTATTATTAACTCTGGCACTTTCTGTACTCTTTATGCTAAATCCAAATGAGAAATTTAATATGGTTCATTTTCCATTAGACTATACTGATCCCTGTTCTAATTTTGTAGAAGGGTAGTCTTTTGTAATCACAGATTATGATTGTTCAAATCATTTCAAATAGGTTAGGTGCATTAATTTTTCCGTTTCTTATTCTTCCACGCAAGGATACAACAATAGCAACAACAAGCCTTTATCCCACGATGTGGGGTCAGCTACATAAATCATTTTTTTCCATTGCATTCTGTTGAGAGTCAATTTTTCATTTAAATTTCATAAAAAAGACCTTTTTTAATATTCTCTAGCCAAGCCTTTTTAAGTCTACATCTACATTTCTTAACTTAGGCCAAATCCAATATATATACTCTCCTAATCGGGTCATCGAAAGGCTGACATTTTATTTGTCCAAATCATCTAAGACGACTCTCTCTAATCTTATCTGCCATTGGAGCTACTCTAACCTTTTCACGCACATACTCGTTTCGCATTCTGTCTCTAAGAGTGAAGCCATTCATCCAGCTGAACATCCTCATCTCTGCAACACTTAGCTTTATGCTTCTCTTTTAACTGCCAACATTATGCATCATATGCATTGCAGGTTTCACCGCCATCTTATAGAAATTTCCTTTAAATTTGAGGGGTACTTTTCTATCACATAAAAGTCCTCTGCTTCAACCATCTAATTTAAATTATACTAATAATATCCTCATTTATTTCACCATCACTTTGACCAATAAACCCAAAATATCTAAAACTTGTACTCTTATTAATGGCTTGATCACCCAAAGTCACAATTCCTCCGGTTGATCTATTACTATTAAAATTATACTCCATGTATTCGGTTTTAGATCTACTCAAACGAAAACTTTTAGATTCTAAGGTTGACTTTCATAATTCAAGTTTTCTTTTGACTCCCTCTCTAGGCTTATTAATAAGAAAAATATCATCAGCAAAAAGCATACACCAGAGAACATCCCATTGTAAATGTCTAGTAGGAACATTCATGACCAAATAAAAAAGACATGGGCTTAAAGCCGATCCTTGATGTAATCCAATTGAAATAGGAAAGTATTTGGTCAAACCACCTTGTGTTTGAACACAAATAACAACTCCTTTATGCATATCTTTAATGACTTGAATATAAGCATTATTAGCTCATTTCTTTTTTAGTACTCTCTAGAGCATTTTTCTTAGAACTTTATAATATGTTTTCTTTGAATAAAAAATATCATATATAGATCCTCTTTATTCTCTCAGTACTTTTCCATTAAACCTCTTAATAAATGTATATAGCTTTCATAGTAGACCCTACTTGACATGAATCCAAATTGATTCCGAGAAACATTAGTATCATGTTTTAACCTATGCTCATTAACTCTCTCCCATAGTTTTTAAATATGAAACATTAAGTTAATTCCTCTATAATTCGCATGCTCTTATGCATTACTTTTATTCTTAAAGATAGGAATCAACACTCTTCTTTTCCACTAATCTGACATTTTTTTGTCTTCAAAATAATATTAAAATGTTTTGTAAGCCAAGAAATTCTTTAATCTCCTAATCATTTCCGCACATATATTGCAATATTATTAGTTCAAACCACTTTTCTATGCTTCATATTCTTTAAGGCCTTTATAACTTAAGTTTTATTAATATGAAGATACAAATTAAAATCCCTATTATTATTCAGGGTGTAAGGTCACTAAAGTTTATAGTATTCTTACAATCTTTATTGAAAAGTTTATTGAGATATATCATCCACTTTTGTTGAATATCCTCTTTAATAAAATCATTTTTTTAACTTCATCCTTAATACATTTCACTTGAATTAAATCCTAATTTTCTCATCTCTTTATTTCTCTAGCTTATATGTATATTTTTCACTCTCCTTAGTATCTAATCTATTATGTATATCTTTAAAATCTAAATTTTTTGCATCACATGTTGTTTTCTTTAATTTCTTATGAGTCTCTTTATATCTTTTTAAAATTTTCATGTTTTTACATCCAAATCTAATTTTTATAACAAACCTTCTTATATTTTATCTCTTTTATATATATATATATATTTTGATTTCGTGCAATGATCATATGCAAATTTCCATTCAAAATTAAGCCAAAAAATGCTATTCTTCGGTTATGGATATTCTAATCTATAGTTTTAGCCATTAAAAATAAATATTCCTACTTTGGTCAATCACTGATTGCAACATTCAATGATTGGCCATGCATGGGACCTTAACACCCCTATTTGGATATTTTTGACCAATGCATCTCTTTCTACTTACCCTCTATAGAAGAGGGAAAAATTATTTCGTGTGGATACCGAATGTCGTCCGGAGACTAATTAGAATGTGCCATATCAGCCATGTGGCTCGGTACTACTCTCGGTACTGTTGATGTGCGACGCATTCTGATTGGTCTCCGGACAACGTTCTGCATCCGTTCTCCGCACAAAATAATTTCTTCTATAGAGGAGGTCCTCCCCTATGACATCATCACAAAAACAAGCTATAACACTTCTATAGGCAACAAATTCAGATTGGGGACATGCTTGACTACAACCTTCTACTAATATTCATGTCAGCATTCATGACACGAATCTGATTGGAAATCCTTCGCTCTACTCCTAATTGGCGCATCCTAAATTAGATGCATATTTTTATAAAGATTCATATAAGAAACTAGAGAGGAATTAAAGAGTCTTCTCTTTTTAAATGTGTCATAATATGATCTTCAAGACATGGACACTGGTATTCACATCCTACACCAATTTTATGCCAAGGATGGTAATTGTATTTTGGCCACATTGTCCATAAAAGGATAACAACGACATAGATTCATCATTCATGCCTATATGCAAATTTAGGTTTTATTTGTGATGGCGTTCTTAGTGCTTCTTAAAATATTTTCTTGGTACAAATAATTTTTGTACTAGAAAATTACTTGAAAAAAAAAGAAAGCTATCCCAAGCTTCTTTTGAAACAGTTTTTTTGGCGCTTTCTAAACTAGTTTTTCAGCCCAAATTTTATTTTTAATTATAAATTTTTGTACTAGTAAACTGCTTTAGAAATCAATAAGAAAATGATCTCAAATGAAGCTTGGGACGACTTTCTTATTGTTTTGTCAAGCTGATTTTTAGTAAAAAAGCAAAGAAAGAAATAGTTGTCTAAAGCATCCATGTTTTGTTTGAGATAGCTTTCTTATTACTTTTTAAAATAGTTTTTTAGTACACAAATTTTTTAAATTAAAAATTTTTATGCTCGAAAGTGATTTTAGAAAGTAATAAGAAAAATATTCCAAACGGAGCCTTAATCGTTTTACCTAGGTATCTTTTGTGCTTGGACATAAGTCTTTTATTGAAAGTTCGCACAGATATAAAATGAATGGTTTTGCCCATATCCTTGCAAAGATATGTAGATTACATTCCCTCTGTTGTTTTTTATTGCAGTTCAGATATTTGTTCAATCAAGTTCAAGCACATTTTTTTGTTTGTCATTTCTAGCAATAAGCATGAGAAAAAAGAGGATTTTTTTTTTCTTGAGAAAAAAGAGGGGTTTAAATGGATAGCACTAATTTTTTTTTATAATTTATATATGTGACAAAGTATTTTATTTATTAAAATATTAAGACAATAATAATAATAATAATATCTTAAATTATCATATTTCATTACACCAAATTGATCGCCCTTCACATGTTGGTTATGACAGGGGGATGTGAGGAGCGGCAGTTCAGGGCCTGGGGAGTAGGGGTGTCAATTCGGTCAATGGGTTGGGTTCGGGTCAAACTCGGATTTGATTC